TTTTTTTACTACTTAAAACAATGAAATAAAATATTTTCAAACACATAATACTTTTTATATACCTAGGTACCTATAATGAGTGTCTTATGTTAAAAGAATCGTACAATATAATATATTAATATGTGTAGGTATATATGAAACAACAAAAAGATCAATCTTGTATTAGTTACCTACATAATACACTAGAACAATRACATTATCTGTGTTCTTGACTTCTGGTCGGATTTCTTCAGTGTATTAGTTTTAATACAAGTTTTAGGCAGGTGCCAGGTACAACTGTACCTACAAGTGTTTTTAAATTGTTATATTGTATCTACTGTAGTTAAAATATAAAATAGCTTTACAACTTAAATATAAAAATTAAACCAATAATAGCACAAATAATAGGTAAACCATAGAACTGAGTTTAAATTTGACGAGGTGGTTAAGTTTATTCCTATAATCCAACAACAACAAAACTATATTACCCAATATAAATACAATTAGGGAAACATAAATTAAGTATATTATATTATGTGTGCGTACTGCTTATAAAACTAAGACAACGAATGCGTCTGTAATAATGTCCTTGTCCTATTAGGTTTTAACTTTTAAGTTAACCTTTTATTTTTAGTAACTTTTGATTATATATTTTAGAGTTGAGCCAAAATGTAATCCCATCAATGATTCAGAAATAATTCCCAAGTCAGTGGAATACATGATGGTAACATGTGAATTGAGACCAAATGGTGATAAATTAAAATCGACAGTTTATAAAGATATTCATGCAATGGTGATCGATAAAGGTCAAAGACGATTCCGCAATTCAGATATCCCAGACAAGCCCAGCGTGCTAATAATATCCATTGACTCATTGTCACGCTTAAATCTTATACGATCAATGCCTATAACATATCGTTTGTTGGAAACGCATGGATTTATGTCACTTGAGGGGTATAATAAAGTCGCCGACAATACATTTCCCAACGTAGTACCAATTTTAACCGGCATGTTTGTAAATCAAATGACTAAACGGTGTTGGAAGAGTCCCAAAGACGAGATGGATGGATGTCCATTTTTGTGGAAAGATTTCAAAGAACGAGGTAATATAAGTAGTTATAGAACTATAATTTATACTATAACATATATACTAATATTACTACCAACTTAATACATGCGCATATGATTAAAATGKTATACCTATCTACGTCTGTTATGATTGTATTTAACTTTTAAGTGACTTAACCAATTAAGGTAGATGTTATAAAACATTCAATAGATTCCTTGAGACTCAGGTATTTTTGGATTTTTTTTAATCCCAATATTATGCCGTTATATACTATATAGAGTGGCTTACACATATTTTGAAATACGAAAACTGAAAATGTTTTTGTTTATATTTTTATAAGGTTAATATTGGTAATATTGCAATAGACATTAAAGTAATAAGCGTACTGTATTTCAGATTTTTGTTGAAATTGAAGCTTGACTGTTGGAGTAGATTTACTATAGACTTGATTTTTCTATTCTATACCCACGCATTTCATAATGCAATTTTATTCGACAATAATTTCAATCATATAGTCAGGATATCTAGTTTGTTCAAACACTCCATTTTATCGATCATAATGAGTAGGGGGGGGGGCGAAGTTATTCGTGTATTCAATTGCCATAAATATAAGACTATCTGAAAAATTTGGGAGCTTTATAAYACCCCTAGTTTTTCATTAAATTGTGCATTTGCTCATAAAAGTGGCTTATGTTTATCTATTTCTAAACCGCAGTACAACGAGGTTGTATAATAAGGCTCATAAAATAAATTTTGATATCATATAATATATTTCATGAATATATTTATAACACTTAATATTTAACCGCCACGCACATGTCACTGCAGGTTACGTTACGGCTTACGTGGAGGACGAACCCAGCATGGGCACTTACAACTTCGGCAAATACGGATTCCGGAACGCACCGACCGACTACTACTCGCGGCCGTACATGCTAGCGGCCGAGCGTTACTTGCCGGTAATCAAGTATGACGGCATGAATTTCTGCCTTGGTCCGCGGTCCACGCCTGACCGGATATACAGTTACGCCGAGGACTTCRTCCGGTTGCACAGGCACCACGGATATTTTGCCGTGTTCTGGATGAACACGTTCAGCCACAACGACGTGAACACACCGTCGGCGATGGACCAGCGGACGGCCGGCGCGTTATCCAAGTTGCTGAACGGCCGGTTGCTGGACAACGCTGTCACTGTAGTGCTCAGCGACCACGGGCTCAGGTTCGGGGCGATACGCCAGACACATGTCGGCTGGCTTGAGGACCGAATGCCCGCGTTCTACGCCCGCCTGCCGCCCGGATACGTGGCCGCGCGACCCGACCACCACGCAGCTCTGGCAGCCAACAAACACCGACTAACGTCGCCATTCGATCTGCACCTGACGCTCAAACAATTGCTGTTTCAGCAGCACGGCGACGATAACAACAACAGCAGTCTTTCCGCCACTGTGGCCGACGGGTGTCCAACTTGCCATAGCCTGTTCCAACTAGCCGATTCCAACAGGTTATTGTTTACTTATATATTAGTATATAATATAGAACCGAAGGGGGAATACTAATTAATATCCTACTCTAAAMCTATCCTACATAGCTGGCTGGATAACTTGAAGCTCGTCAAATAACGTATATATATATAATGATATAGTACCATATAGGTAAAGTTATTAAACTAATAAGCAGGGCTCGGAAGTTCTAGCAAATGCACATTTTTATTGGTTGGTCTTAGGACATTCAGAGTAAGATACAAAATTGTTTCAAACTTCTCTAATGTCATATACGAAATTTTATTTTGCTAATTTTTGCATATTTGTGATTTTTAGTGCTTAACTTTTATTTTACAAGCATATATTTTATGTAAAAAGAAAATAAACTAAATTGTATAGAATAATGAATATGCTATAACGAAAACAAACAGTACATTTTACTATTTTAGTTACTATTGCCGATCGCACAGGTTATTCCGTTCGTTTCCAATAATTTAGTTATTTTTAAAATTTTATCAAATTTAATGTAGCAGGTACTGCAATTATCGAATTCGTTCGAAGGTTAGATAGAAAATGTTCACAACAGAAAATGTTCCAGAGCCGGAAAAGTGCCTACTTCTCAAATATTTACTATATCATATTTTATATAAAACTTGTATAATTTAAAAAAGTCTAAAAATTAGTTTATAAAAAAATTTTAAATAAAAAATATTTGTTAAAGAAATTTTAATTTTCATATTTTCCAATTTTAAGTGCATATAAAGTGCTAAAAAATTACTATATTAGTGCTATAACTTCCGAGCCCTGCTAATAAGTAATAATCCAATATAGCGACCCTGGCAACTGAATATTTAGTTAATTTGTTATAATTATTATAAAAAAATGCGAGTCCACAATATTAATATTTTGTTAGGTTGTTAATTCCGTGTAAGTAAAAAACACGAGCTTGCAAGTTGCAACTATTGATATTTACTCGGTATGGATGACATGATACTATGATACTAAACATGTTAATATATTATATTAGGTTATCTATGGAATATATTCGAAATATATATACTCATCGCCTGCAGGTGCATTAGATAGATACTCCAACTGCATTAACTGGTATTCTCAGAGAGACTACATCATAGTTATATTATTTTCTGTAGTAGTACCTACCTATATAATACTGTCAAATTGTTCTATTCTTACCAAATAGGTCGTGCGAACAAGCGGGCATCGCGCCGCATTGGTGCACGTGCAACGAGTACGATGAATTAGACCAGCATAGCAAGACAGCAGTGGACGGTGGCAAGTACGTGGTGCGGCAGTTGAACGCTTTACTAGCCAAGTACCGATCAGCGGTTCATCAGGGGTACGTCTGTTCTTACTTGTCGCTGAGAAAAACCGTATCGGCCCGGAGCAGGGTGGACCGGGTAAGTGGTCGCCGCGAATACTTATTGGTTGTGGAAACGCTACCGGGCCGGAGCATGTTTGAGGTGACCGTCGGCCAGGAAGACAGTAGCAACGGTTCGTTCGGCATGCTCGGCGACATAAGTCGCATTAACATGTACGGGTTCCAGAGCTTTTGCACGGACGACTGGAGATTAAAAAAACATTGTTATTGCGTGAAAAAAAATCGAAAGCCTGCTGGCAGTTAGTGATGACAGTAAATATTCTGCTTCGGTTTGACGAATGGATATAAATTATTCTTGGGAGGCGACCCTTAAAGTCCTCGTTCCGTGACATGACAATATTCTAGATTCCAACTTCTAATCCTATTTTTTAAACTATAAAATATTATAATCATTCACTGTTAGATAACATAACACATAACTTCACAAAGTTTCAAAATATGAATACTTACAYAATAATATAATACGTATGGTCTGAAATTTACTATAGATGATATAGGGTGCTGTAACACTACATTGGATTTCAAGAGAAATTAATATATCTTCTTGTACAGCCATAAAATTTGACACTATCTATAATGTCCACTTATTGTTTCTCGAAGATTCAAACTCAAACAGGTGCCTAATTACGACATTTTTCAATTAGTATGCAACTTATTTAGTTGTCTTACAACAACTCGCTGTGGTTTAATAAAAATACGAGTTAATTAGGAACCCTATACCCAACCTATAACCTATTTTTTCGTATTTATTTTATGCTATATATAATGGCATGTTCAAGTTTACACTTTGCCTGCCTCTCATGTAATATTATTTATTGAGTAATACAGTAAAAACTTGTATTGCTCCAAAGGCAGCCTRAAACCACTTTCATTTTTAAGTTAGTATATTATATGTCCCGATTCAGAGCTTTCAGTTTGGCATAATGCAATTGGCTTAGCTACAATAGCCAATAGGAATTTGATGCGACAACCGCCGATGTWCTACCTTTACATAAATTAATTTGTTGGTCGTCTTGATTACTTGATTACTGTCTCTTCTGAGCCATGAATATAATATATAGTTGCTCTTCAATATGAATGTGTGATTTAACGACAAGTATTCAAATATCGACCAAAACAGAATGTCTGGTCCTTCGTGTCCACACCGCCTTCGTCGTGTGGTTCCATAACTCTAGCCATTTGCATTTGCTCAGTGTCGCCTCGCTATCCTGTCTCCTGATCACTGTACCATTGTGACTTCTCGCTATTGTGTTCCTCGATTGTGTGGCGCTCTTCAGTCGAATGGTACGCTAGAGAGACCTTCTAACCAGAACCTGGCCAGCCACATTAGACACTGTTCTATAGCACCTTGCAACCGTAATAGCAGCACTTCTTTGAGCTTGACTGAGCGCGGTTCTATTCCGGGCTGTCTTGGCTGCCGTCAACGCTCAGACCGGGAATTTTTTATTTTTTATTATTAAATCAAAGTGTTTCTGACATACAAGGTCATCTAAYTTATTGATATAATAAAGAATTTTTAACATCATTAAGTTGTTAAGCGTAAATCAGACCGGGGAAGTGTACAGCAATTTACTGTGTGYCACCGATATAAAGCAGTCACCTTCTCCTTGCTGACGGCCCAAGGCCTCTGGATCTTGGGCAACAACCTCCCAAGAGCAAACACCGTCCGCCTGACTGTTATCGTGACACAAGGACCAAAGTTAATTCTAGTCTCCAACTATGGAATCCTAAATACCTCATCGAGAAATTCACCGGGATGAAGCCCATCTAGGGTGAAGATTGATCAAGACAACCGCATTCAGACAATAAATAATTAGTTCAACAAAAGCGTGTATCCCGGGTAAGCGGGTTTTCCCATAAGGTATACTACATAATATGTATACGTCGTATACTCTCAAGATTTTTTTTTTTCAATGTTATGGATATAGGTAGGTACTGCGTATTATAACATTATTATACAATATTTGTAAAGATTGACGAAATATACGTAATATATTAAAGAGAATATTTAATGTATGTATAAAAAATTTGGTTTAAAATTGTTTCCATATTATTGACGCGCTCTTTACCGGCTTTACTCCTATGAACCATAAGAAAATTGTTTTTATTGTATCACATGTTTATATTTGATGATATATTATACTCTCAAAAAAAATAATGGGAACACCTCAGCGTGTATCTACCGATATTATGTTATTATAATTTATACTATTAAACTATTATTATACATTTATAAAATAATAATGTTTACTGTACAATTATACTGTTTTTTGACAGTGAGACAAGAAAGTTATCATAAAGCATAATAAATAACATTTTGTACCTACATTTTTAATTGGTTAGTACTAGCCAGTAGCCACAAGCCACAAGGTAATAATTAATAATAAATATAGAAATGCCATACTTAATCCATTAACTGTATTTTTAATCAGATAAGCAAAAAAAGTTAAATTTTGTGGTGACTTTGTTATATTTAGTAAATAAGTAGGTGAACTTAAATGTGTTGAAATACAAGAAATTAATATTCAATAAAAATCAAGAATAAAGTCTACTTAAGTCACTAAAGTCACCTATATGTTACCAACAAATTTAAGAATAATTTAATCAAACATTAAATGTAAGACTAAATATTTAAACATATTATTCAACTAATAATATTTGTTAAATATTATTATATGCTTTGAATTTTAATATCTATAAAAACTGGAATATTACTTAGAACCATAATATATCAGTCTAAACATATTGGTATCTTAATCTGTGGTATTTATTATTAATACGTATTATTTTAATTAGAATGATTGTATCCGCTTAAGAGCTTGTCATAAACTCATAAGTAACAACTAACAATCTAAATCAAGATCTCATACATTTTTTTAAAGCCGAGTGGTACCAATTGTGGGTCAAAACTYAAAAGGATCAATTTCTTTCATAGTTACATCAACTTTTGATTTTTCCCAAAGAGGTTGTGGTGGTATTTTCAATGTATATTAAAGACTAGTGTTTATCTTTATTGTTTGGTGGATGTATTGACAAGTATTTAAATATGAAATTGCATCACTTCCTGATACTTTTTTTTTTGAAATTCGAAATCATCTTAAAAATGTTACATTGATTTAAAAATATCTTTAAATGGATTTATACTTTATAGGAATTCAATTGTTATCATTTAATATTCATCTTTCTTATATTTATTTTATTTTATTAAATTTGCAGTGCTTAAAAAATAAATTTAGCATTTTATTTGAGAATCTCTATTTTTAGATATTGGAGCAGAAATTTTAAAATCTTTCAAAATACAAATCAGTTTTTATTTAAGATTTTTACAAAATAAATCAATATATTAATAACTAAATTAATTAAATTTCATTAGGTAATAACAGTTTAGTGTATGATACAAGATGTGGGATTTGCACACTTTTTCATTCTTTCAAATACACACTTATATTGTATTGTGTTTATACAATAAAACAGATTTTTAGATTCTGAGCGGAACGAGGAATGTATTGATTTTACCATGATGTGTGTTTTTTTTGTGTCTGTCATCACGTTTTGGGACAGTAAAAGTGCTTCGATGTTTTACTTCAGTACYTCGTTAGATCAGAAAGTAAATCTAAATATTTTTAAAAATATTTTTCTAAATAATCGGGATAAACAAACTAAAAATTAAGGAAAAACGGGAAATTTTACGCACAATCAGTTTTTGACAAAATCGATTTTGGTTTTTGATGTAACTTTAAAACAAATTACCATAGATACATGACATTTTCACTGAATATTTATATAAGTATATTCTATTTACCATGCAATTTTCAAAAAAAGTCAACTTAATTTGAACTATTAATAGGCATATGCAATTTTCGATCATTATTAGTTTTTTTAAAATTAATATCGAAATTAATATTTTTCGACTTGTTAAGTTTTTTTTTCTATAAATATCAATAAAAATTTATGTTGGGTAGAAAAGCTTGAAAATTTAATACAAGACTCCTAACATATTTTTCAATAGCAGTTTAAAAATAAAATAAATAGTCACAATTTTTTTTTTACAGGCATTCAAATTTTAATTTTGACAACATACGTAAAATTACGAAAATTCTCAAATTATTTTAAGCTAGAAATTCATAAATATTTTTCTTTTTAAATCTAAGATTTTAATACTATTAAAAATTTATAATACATCCTAAACAGATAAACCGTTTTGCTCAGAATCGTTTTTCGTATACAATGATATAATATCATTGGATTCAAATTTGATTCCATCCATTACAGTAACCCACTTGTAACCTACTGTACAGCAGAGCGACATCCACGACTTACCAGCCTTTTTAATATTTAAAATCATAGTAATTAACATCTATAGGATATTTAGTGGTTCCTAATTAAAATTTACAATGTACTATGGCAGTAGCCAAAATCATCAATGATCTAGCTAGTTGCCAATCATCAATATTAAATTGTTGAAATACTTGGAAAAACTAATTAAAACAACAGTAGAAAATCAAATTAGTACATTATTTTATTAATGTAATAATAATAATAATACAATACAATTTATATAATTAACAATAAAATAAACATTTTATTAACAAGTTATTATTTAATATACATATTTTATAGTAAAGAATAATATTTTATGCATCTACAAGTAGTGCAGAAAAGAATAAAAACACAGATATAAAAAAAGTTGAATGCATGTTAAAATATTATAATATACGAAATTATTCATAAACGTGAACTAAATTGTTACATATTATTAGGAGTTCACAACCGGATTTTGATTTACAACCGAAATAAAAATAATAGAATGTGCAGTTTAAAAATTATCACAAACATCAACAATTATTACTACAATCAATAAAATTTTATTTTGAGAATTAATATAAACAAAAAAATTGTTTCATAATACTGTGTGAGCTAATAATACAAGTTTTAAGTACAATACAATTGGTTAAAAGACATAGTTACTGTACCGTGTTATTTTAAAAATTAAAATTAACACTTAAAACAATGATTTGTGTTGTTAATAGATGTAAAATTAATCCAATTATTCCAATTAATTGACAAAAATAAAACACATATCACATTGAAATATATACAACTCAAAYCTACTACTATATTCATTAGCCAATGGCCATTAATACTTTATGTCATTGATTTTCGGACCAAAGATCTAATGTTGATGTTCCAAATGTATCTGGAGGGGTTGGAAAATTATTCACTTCAGTTTGGTCTTGAATTGGTACACCATTTGCAGTATATGATAACCGAATTCTCATTCTTAGCTGGCTCTAATAATAAAAAAGTTATTACATTAACATTTTCTTAATTTGTTAGGCTTATTTAATTTTTACCAAAAACATTGCCTTTTATATAACTTTTAAGTTATTAYCAATGTACTATAGGGTGGAGTAGCTATATAAGCTTAGAACTAGTCTTAATATTTTTAAAATGGCACTGTGTATAGAAAATACCAATAAAATTGATGATAAAAAGTTTTCAAATCTTTACAAATAACATCTTCTAAATTATAGCTATCTTAACAAGCATAAACTTAATCAACAGGCAATAAATCATGGGAAAAACTGGTGACTATACTCAAACAATAAAACTTTATGAAGATTTGTGGAAAAATGATACCATTCAAAAATAGATAGCCTCTCCACACCTAAAATATCATTTACATGGGTGTTTATTGGACTATCATTATTTATTTACTTCTATACTCGGCACTAGAGATGTGTCGTTCGCGAACGAACGGATCTTATTGAACGGTTCAAAGTAGTGAACGAGTGATCCAGATCGTCAAACTGAGGTGATTCGGATCACTGATATTTTTTTTCCGTATTGGTTCACACTGTGTCCCGAATCACCGAATCATATTATTATTATACTATTATATTATTACTCATGTCACAAACGACACGAACGACGTGAACCGTTTGGGAACCACGACAATAGAACATAATATTCCCGTTCAATGGTTCAGATTCAATATATGCTCAAAATAACCTATCAGATCGCGAATGGGTCTTTGAACCGGATCTTCTTGATGACCTGATCTGAATGAATCGGATCACWTAAATGAACCATAATTCCCGTCTCTACTCGGCACCAGGAAAGTACATTACYGTGAATCGACCAAACCATGTATGGATCCTTCATTCAACGACTACAGTTTGTTGTTTGGTACATTCAGTAACACTTGCAGAGGACTACTGAGATTACTGTTGTCAATTTTCATTTGCAAAACAGTAATATTTTCTCTTAGTGCAGAGTATAGTACTATCTTTTTAATTACAAAACCAAGTAAACAGGCATATTTTGTAACTTAAATAGTATTTTTTTCTAATTTAATACTCAAATTTTTTTAATATGATTTACTATGTTTTAATAGTTTGGATGAGTACAAAAATATGCAATTTGATAAAAATAAACGCTTCTACTGGTTGATACTCATACAATTGGCAATGGGATATGCTWATTAATTATGAATAATAGGCGGTTAAAATAATTTTTATATTAGTTAATTTTTCGTAAATTAATTAATTTTTTATAAATAATAGAATTGTAAGAAAATAAAAACTTATTATCTTATTCCAAAATATGCATTTATATAAAAAAAATTTAATCATGTAATATTTTACAGATTATGAAACATTAACAACTCTTACTCGCATTATTCATCATACAATTGATAAAACAGATAGGCATATCAGTAATTTTTTAGTACATACTGTATTAGCCAACCACATACCACCAATAAACCTGGTTTGCTTCTTCTCATTGAGAGAATATATGATCATATATGATTATATGAACAATAGGAACAATAGAGTAATAATGTATTTTGGCAGGTAATTTAATTGTTAAAGAAATGAGGCAAGCAACGACTAAGGCTGGGGAGGATGGGATGTGTCAGCTGAGTCAAACAA